AATAAAACTCTGGTAATTATAACACGTTGAATATATTCTCTACACTTCTTAATATAGAAATTTATATTTAATCACATTTTCATTGATGTGCAATAAAAATTTTCAGAACTTTTCGCCCAAATACAAACTCTTACATTAAACAAACTTATTAAGAATGTAAATTAATAATTATGGTATTTTTTTAAATATCATGTGAATTTTTAAAACCTTCGCTGCACCAAATGTAAAAAAGATTTTCTTTGAATTTTTCTCTCTGTAACATTGAACTTTATAATTTCATATTACTTGAAATAATACTATTTTTTGATTTTTTTAAGGAATTTAATACTGAAATACATTTGATTCTGGCTATTTTTAACATCTTTATCACGAAAACCTATTTATCTTAAAATTTATATCTCTCCCTGCATTTTTCATGTTTAAGTCAAATAATATTTTTCGGATACCCGAAAAATGTTATTTTATGGAGTGAAGTTGGAATATTAATGCTTGGTGACTTTTTGATAGCGTCAATTGTAAACGAGAAACATCTTTTTTAATACAGTAAACGGATGCATTTAACGTTGTTTTTCTCTGATTGGCTTGTTGTTTGACTTGACGAATTTGTTTACAGTGATATGATATTTGGGTGATCTGCCAACAGAAGGACTTTCTATATAAAAGTGACACTTGTTTACGTGTTACAAACGTAAAGTAAACCCGAAAAATTCCACATGGCCAGCTATTGATAGTTGACAAGGTGAAAATAATGGAAAACTAATTTTCTGTAATTTTATCCATGTTGCCACTGATGGGCTTGCTTTTTATTGACTGTAAAAAGTCAGGAATTAAAAACAATTTATGAATCATTTTTGATAACCTTTGTGAAAAAAGTTTAAATAATTTAATGCTTCAAACACGTATGTACTCTACTTTCTATTGTATTAATAAAAACACTCTTTAATCAAACAAACTTGTTACTGTTTACTGTATAAAAATCTGTACATCTCGAAACCTGTCTATCTAGAATTTTTTGATGTCTCCTTGAAATTCGAGATAGACAAGTTCAACTGAAACTGAATACATTTTCTAATTGTAAATTTTTCTCTACTTTACTTGCTTTTACACTGTGACATCAATTTTGCATTATTGTGTTACAAAAGAAGCACGTGCATGACTGTATCATATGTTTCTGTTTTAATAGAGACATTCGAATACAACTGCTTTCTTGTTATTTGATTTTATACATTTTGAAAAATTATTTTTCAAAGAGCATTAAATCAAAGAGCTTAAGTGTTTTTACACTGTAATATTCTTCATACCTTCTCTGATGCATCTTTCTGTTTGTGAACAAGTACAGAGATGCTTCGATTTTATTTTTGCACTAAAAAATGTGCAAAACTCATGCCACCAAAAAACAGCTATACACCAATCACCTGTAGATTGGTTCAGATAACAGTCGTTGAAGTGATGAGTTCTTTGTACAGAACTCCAAATTTTAAATGAGCTCATTGGTTGAATTTAATTAAATAAAACCTTTCATTTTCAGATGATCCTGCTAGTAATTTTTGATTTCAATGAGTTTATCTTGTGTTTATTTTCTTTTGAAGTAACAGAAAAAATTATTTTTAATGAAAATACATATAATATTTTATAAACATACTAGTTGTAGTGATTCGCTGCACTTTAAGATATATTTTATTTTTACCACAAGATTTCTTGTAAAGATCTATACACTTTGACATATATTTTTAATTTACTTCTTCGAATCTATTTAATTTTTTATCATGTCATTAAGAACGTTTCAAATATGACGAAGTAGATTATTTTTTCCAGTCAACATGTTTGTATTCTATAAGAAAAAACTTATATTACGATATATTTTATTAGAAGTTAAAATTTAAAATAATTATTTAATTATTACAATTATATTCAATAAAATTTTTTGGCAAATATGGTTTATTACAAAGACTGTGTAATAAGTAAATTTTAAAATTTTGTTTTTTTTTATATAATTTTAAATATCCATATTAGTTAAAAATAATAATTATCATTTTTTAAATTTTCAGTGAAAGTAGACAGAGAAAAATTTAGAAATTGATAACTGTCAATATATTTAAAATAATCTAAAGTAAATTCTTTCTTTTTTTTCGAAAATCAAATGCATATCATAACCTAACAATTATGACGAAAAATGTCTCTTTAACGATTTATTTCATTTAATAAAATAAAAAATGTTTGACAGCATCTTTACCACATTGTGAGAATGAAATTTAGCAATTTTTTTCTGAACTTGGAGTAGAAACTCTTAATATTTATAATCAATCAATCAATCAATCAAAGCTTTATTGTACTAAGGAAAAAAATCCTTGTTACAGGGGGGGTTATTTTATACATGAAAAAAGACCGTAGTAGTTTGTTTTACATCTTATGTTGTTTTTTTAAACAAATAATTTTAACAGAGATAGAAAAAATATACACAAAAAAGTTATAATTGCATAACATTAGCTAAATATTAATTCATAACATCATTATCAAATATATTAGTAATCTGGATGAAAAAGTTATTTAATTTATACATATGATGTTTTAATAAATCTCCAATTCTTAGCATATAATTTAAATCGTGGTTCATGCCAAGTATTTCTGTTATTTGGTATTTATTCTTGACGATATTTTTTAATAGCTGTGCAGTCTTTCAACAGATGAAGAATAGAAAAGTTTTCCGATTTACACCAATACCACTTTTGTTTAGAACAGTTTATATATGTATTATTAACCAACAAGGAATATATATTTAGACGAAGTTGTAAGAATAATCGTTTAATATTCATATTTATATCAGTTATAATAAATCTGGAATCAGAAAGAGTTTTTAAAATTTGAGAATACCAGGGTGATAAGCTGATTGCAATATTGAGTTTTGATCCTGGGTTATTGATTGCGATATGGCCGATTCCAACAGTAGTGTATAGACGTTATTCCAATTTATGTCAAATTTATCTAATAAAACACTTGAGTTTCCATATGTTTGAAGTATATTATTGAATTTGTATTGCCAAGTATCTTTGGTGGAATTTAGAAGATTAGATTAATACATATTTTGGCGTAAAAATTTTATATTCTCATCATCTGTATTTATAAGTCGGTAATAGAAACTTATTAATCTTTCTAAAAACCAAGGAAATAGTTGAATTCTATTTGTTTCTGCTCTAACAGAATAACCTGGTACAGATCTCTTAAGCTTGAATAATTTACCTAGATAACTAATATGAAATTTCTCAAATTTGTAGAAAACATCAAGAACCCATACCGGGCTGGCGTAAAAAATGGAAGGAAGAATTACAGTATAGCGTTGAAAATTTTTATGGAAAGTTTTAAGTCAGATATTTTTAACGTGGAGCATAAATATATAGTATTGTCAATATGCGAGTTAATTTTTGCAGTAAGTAGTCCTACTTTAAAATGTTGTTGAAAAGCTCCATTCCAGCTAAAGGTATTTTATGTTGCTGATAATTTCTAGAGGTTTGCCGTCTAGATAAAAATTTTTTTCTTGATTAGATAATTTAATTTATTTCCTGAAAATAATTATTATTTTATTATTAAATTATTTTTGTTTTGAGGCGTTAATCGATAAATGTAACGATGATAGGTATTTATTTACTCTATCGAGTTTATGTTGTAATGTTATGCGATTTGGTGATTTAGATAGTACTAAATCATCTGCGTATAGAATACAGTGAAAAATACGAGCATTGATATATACTCCTTCATTATCTTTATCAAATAAGTTGTTTATGTCATTTATGTAGAAATAGAAAAGGGATGGAGAAAGAGGTTCACCTCGAAGTATTCCACGTTTTGTAATTATTTCTGAACTAAGTAAGTTGCTATTTACAATATGTAGTTTATAAGAAGAAAAAAAATGCATAATCGAATTTGAAAAACTGTTACCTGCCCCATATTGTTTTACACAATACAAGTAATATGCAGCAAAATTCAGAAAAACGTATTTCCACCTCAGTCACATGGCAAGAGTTGGGTTAGGTTTTTTCGTTATAGGGGAGACCGGGGCAACTTCGGCATACGGGGCAAGTTTGTCAAGCGCTTTTTTTTAAAACAAATTAAAAGGAGACTTTGGTTATAGGTTAGGCAGTTGAGTTTTATTGGTGGCTTGTTGAGTGTAGTGTTTTTATTGTTCTACAACAAGCGTAGTTGAATTATCAAGCAAATTTTCATTTTCGTTCAATTAAATATAATAGTTTGCTTCCATTTATATTGAATTGGCAGGTTTTGTTATAATTCCATGATAACGAAAGTTACTTTTCCTGTTAGAAGGATGTAACTTCAACTTATTCACGTGGCCAGATCGTGGCTTGGCATTCTGTTCTCAGGGTTGTACTTAATGTTTCGAAATCATGACTAGCGGGGTAAGATCGGCAACATAAAGCCACATTAGAAGCAAAGGATAAAAATCAAACAGATGATAAATGAAAACATGTTTGCATTTGTTATTCATGTATATATGTCTTTGAACTTGCATTTCGTTGTAATAATATTAAATGGGTGTTGGATTTGTATTTCTTTGTTTTAATAGTGAATTCCAACTTATACATTGTTAATAACATAATTTTATATACGTGCCTATCTTGCCCCATTACTGTTGCCCCTATACCAGGGGCAACTTTAATAAAAATAATTAAAATAATTACAACTTTACAAAAAGAGAGAAGTTGCCGATCTTGCCCCTATACCCGGGGCAACTTCGTCAATTTCTCTCTTCTTGTAAAGTTGTAATTATTTTAATTATTTTTATTTCCAAACTGATTTTAACCAGTTCTATAGTAAGAAAACATTCCGATAGACAATATGCAAAGCTTTTTTTTTCAGTTTACAGCAGTATTTATTACACAAAATTTAAGTAAAGCTTAACATGCCGATCTTGCCTCTATCTCCCCTATATTTATTGTTAATAGTCATACAAATTCTAAAATTCAAATACTACTTTATTTTATGTTAAAGTTATTTCGAACTAGTTTTGAAAATTTTAAAATAATAAGTCGTTTCGAAAATTAGAAATGTTAACAATTAAGCGGAACGAAAATCGCCAGATCTAATTTGGTTTACCGAGTTTAACGAGTTTGATTTTTGAAATTTCCAACAATTGTTTCTATTATAAAGCAAATGAACGTTATCAAATATCCAATCGCCAGAAGAAATAAATGCCCGTAAATGTTTCCCAAAGTTAGTGGTTTCGCCTCTGAGTCAGACACGTCATCAGGAATTCTGTCTCTTGGAAATATTTTATCGTTGATTCCAGATTCAAACATTCTGGTGTTACTAAAAATATAACGTTTAATCGATTAAGATTATCATCGGCCTCTATAAATTAATATTACGCTAATATATTTAATAAATAAAAATGCAATTTGCTTAACGTTAAACAAATATAAACACTTACAACTTATTCATGTTTTTTTTATATGGAAAAGTTCGCCTGACGACGTAGCCAACAGGAAAGGTTCCGAGAGCATCGTCAGATATGTACCATTTTCCTCTTATTCTTTTCCTCAATTTTGTAATACTGTAAATATCGCCAATAAATGCGAATTTTCCCTGTTTTAGTCGAAAAATTGCTTCGTCGTCGCCGTTGAGGAAGTTACCATTTTCTAAGATATGATCTCTCATGATTTTTTTCCAACCATTTTTCGATTTCTGCACAGGAAATAATAAATAGTCTTCGTTAAAACAATATCGTCATAAATTATGATATACGAATAACATTGGAAACTGCCAAAAATCGAATCTTTAGATATTAATATAACATTATAATATTTGAAATTTTGCGTAATAAATAATGTTGAACACTAAATGAATCGTAAACCCAAAATACGTAAGAGTAATCTATACTTGAAAAGTAGAAACATCGTGAAACTTTATTTCGGTTATAAGAACTGACTGTTTAATCTCCATTATTGTGTATAAATTCAGCATTAAACGGATTGTCTCTACAGAATTTTATAATATTCACATATAATTTTTATTTTATACTTTATCGTATAAAAAATGAATAAAGCTTTATGTAAGATAACAGGGATGATTGAGAGAATCTTAGACATAGCATAATGTGTAAATCTGCAATCTAGTGAAAACATTTCAATTTTTCAACTTAACCTAACGTCTAATTTATTTCATATTTCGAAAGTAAATGGTTCATAGTATCTGAAATTGGAGTTAAGTTTTCTCTAAATGCGAAGGGTAGAGAAGGTAAATTTGCCAAATCTTGTAATAGGCGCCCATTGCTCTGCGTATAGCTCCTCACTACTGGACATGAACACTGCTGGCTAAAAAAATTGCTACACCATGAAGGCGGCACGCAACAAACGCAAAATTTCCATGAAAGGTACAACATGGTGGGTGCTCTTCTACTTTAAGATTATCTGTCAATATAATCTTGTCTTCCTCCCATTATACTGCATGTGTACAATAAATATGACTCTGCTATTTGCTGTCATTCCTTGTTTGGCAGTTTTAAATGTCAGCAGTGTAGTTGGCATCAACTGTGTGTGCCCCTAGCAACATTCGGAGGTTATTTTATGCTCGAATCGTAATATAGCCTATATAAAATTTAATTAGTACTGGCTGTTGTTTGTTTTTTAAATTAGATATTTTTGACTCGAAAAAATCATTTGAAAACGTAAGTAATTTTCATTCGATCTAAAATTTCTATTTGATGTTCACATACGGTTTTAGTTTATTATTCTATTTACTTTATGCTTATGGCTACTCCATGATTATAACAGCTAGAACCTTTGGGTACTTAAATTATAAAAGATGTCTTGCACAAACTTTTCCATTAACCACTAAATTTTCTTTTCATTTTTTACAGAATAATATCAATCTCCCCGAATGCCGTTTTCGATATATGAGTAAAAAATCCAAAGAATTCAAAATTTGAAGCCACGATTACATATGTCCTTCGAGATATAGGAGAGATAGCGATTTAAGAAATTGTTTTAAGATACATAAAGCAAAAAATTAGGAAAGTTTGCCAAAAAATTAACAGCAAACAGGAAAAAGTAGACAGGAATAGACAACGCTTCTTTGATACTTTTTTCTTCTTAGCTCGGTAAAAATATTAGAATCTAATAATATATTTAAACTTATCCGGAGTATATCAAACTTATCCCACGAAAATCTTATTATCCACGGGATTTTGCATAAACCACATTCTACGTAAATAATTAAAATAAAAATAATATATTGCCAGTACTTATGGAATGAAAAGGGTTTAAGAGACTTTCACTCGATTTGTATATGCCAATACATCTAATTATTACAATATGATTTATGTAATTATGTAAATATTTTTCATAACTTTTCCTTCATATTTAAAACATATTTACCCGTATGAATCTGTTTACTCCTCCTGTGTTATATCCTCCGCATGATAATTTTCCAGCTTTAACTGCATTTACTAGTTCAGGAAATGTTGTCGGCAGAGGTATTTGTACTGGGGCACTCAAATATGATACCAATTTACCAGCGTAACTATAAACTAAAACACTGGAGCACAGCAGCCATATTCCTACAGATATTCTAGATGCGGTTTTCATTATATGATGTATATCTGCACCTAATCATAAATAAAACTTATTGTAGAGAACTCATTATATTATTTAATATTGACAGAATAGTATTTGTGTACAGTACCTTGTGTAGAAAATGTTCGAAAAAGAAACCAAAACGTTTGTTTTACGTTCCATTGTCTTTCATCTGTTGCATTTCGATGATTGTATTTCATTATTTTCGATAGAATTATTGCCACAACAATTGTCGTAATAGCGATGGCTAACCAGATCTGTAAGATATTCGTTTTAATTTATTGGATATATTAAATATTGTAACGCTTCTAATGACGTCTATATATTTCAATCTATAAATATATAACGTTGTCTATAAACATTACATAGTTATAAAGAATATATGAAACCGAATCCACTGATTTATATTCAAAATAAATTAATTTATAGGTCAGAAAACTTTGAAGCTTTTGATGCATGTAATTGCATTATCAACAAACACAATTTAACAATCCGTGCATTTTAAGATTAGAACAAGGATTATTTACTTCTAAACAAAATTTTAATGAAAGTTGCGTTATTATATCGGATTAAAATATCAAATGATATGCAAATATTATAAGAAAAACAAGTATCTGAATAACTTTCTCCATCTTGTTCATGTTTCAGTACAAATCAAGTGTAATAATGAAAAAAAAGATTAGAAGTGATTTTCAAATTGTATTTTCATATAAGACTTGATATACTTTTTGCAATTATAAAGTTTATATACTTTTTAACTTATTTCTAATGTATTGTTGAATTTTTCATTTATTGCTGGGTATGCTGATCAGATAGTAAACATTAAAACAAAAAGAATAATAATAAATGTTTGATTTAGTTACATATAACGCAAATCTAAACAATTAAATAATTGAATTAATGACAATTTTTAGGTGAAAATAAATTACCTCGTAGGAAAAAGGTTTGTAAATTGCTTCCCAAGTCAGTTCGTTTTCCATTTTTTTTATCATAAAATATACAGGACTTACTTTAGCTGGAACCGTATACGTTGCTACAGAAAAACGATCTGCTGTGATAACGTACATATGTGGAGATGTATCCACTTTCTGGTAAAAATAAAGTGTAATAATGAATAATACTTAAAACTAAGGAAATTTCTTAAATCTGCTTTCATCTCTATTTCATTCTTATTCAAATTGTAATTGTAATCAACATGCTATAAGTACTTACTTCTTTAATGAGGTCTCCAAATATTCCAGAANCCATCCGTTATTCTGGCTGCAAAATGTCGATGGAACTTTGAAACTTGCGCTCATATTTTCCACCATTGTTGTCTAGTCTGTGACGTTTTTGAAATGTAACGACACGACGCGATGTCCTTTTTCGAAATTAATCTTTCCTCTTTTCAAAATTTCTATGTTCTAATTATGTGCATATGAGCGTCTTTTCAAAGGTCCATCTCTACTGGAGGTCGTTTGTTTAAAATTATTAATTAATCATTTAAAATTATTACGTTCTGTTTACATCAATAAAGTTTTTTTCTCTCGTCGCGGTTTCATATGACTAACACAACTAATTCGATCTTTGATCGGTTTTTAACAATAGACGATTTTTCTACTAGTTTCGTTTTAATAAAATTCTAATAATTAAAATATTTAATTTCGACTCATTTTTGGGGCTTCACATTTGTTTTTTCCTTAAAAGTGTGCTTGTGGCTAAGAAGTGTTGGGAAACTATCCACATTTTGGATAAGATAAGATAATTGAATCCTTTTTCTTTTATAGGTGGGTGTAATTAATGTTTTTTCTTTATATAATGATAATTTTGGTTGGATAGTTCTCCCCATAATTTTTTATTATTATGTTATATGTTTATATTTGGATATTTGGTTTTCAGATATTTATTTTTCAGATATTTATTTTTGATGTTTATAATAATAGGCTACTTGTATAATTTTTTCGTTTGATTTATGTATATGTTAATTTTCTCTGTAATAATGAATGATTATGATATTTTTTTGGTGTGTAATGTACATGTAACGAATTATTGTATATCCCGCATCATGGGCTCTGCCTAGTATGTCTAATTAAATAAATAAATAAATTTTTAATGTTCTTGAAGAAATAAATCGGCCCAGAACAGGTCTCAAACCCACAACTCTGTTTTACTGTGCAGATGTATTGCCAATTACACTATCCAGAACAACATTCACTCTTCACTTACGCAAATATTAACTTAGATATAAGGTAACCAGTATGATTATATCTATTTATTATTAAATTAGTCTTCTTATAGCCCAATTAATAAAGCAAAACATTTGGTATTAATTCAAGACTGGGTTAGTGAATTTTTTGTTCACACTTTTCTATATTTTATATTTTAAGAATTAGGTTAGGTTCTATACAATTTTTGAAACCTCAAAATTTACAGTATATGGTTTAAGATCAATCATCATCATTTTACAGAAGCTCATTACAATTGACCCTCAATTCAGAAGACCCAAATTTAATGAATTTTGGTAATGTGACCAAAATTACCAGAATCCAAAATATGTGTTAAGGTTTCAACAAGAGAAATTCCATATCAGTTGCATTAGATTAGCATTTTAACATTTATTTTACATTTCTTTTTACAATTTAAAAATTACTATGTAAATGTGATTTATCATTATATACTAATTTATTAGTTTTTCTCCTTATAATTCTTGTATTTATTATTATTATTATTTAAGCAGAACCAGAAAGTATAGACATTCTCTCTCTCTCTATTAATCCATTGAATTGAAGCTGACTGTATTTTTTGTTGCTGTATCTATTTATTTTGTTTAAATAACGTAAAAAATAGCAATAATTGTGTATTAGCAAGTTTGTGGTCAACCACAAACAGTTCCTTTGCTTTTTTACTTATATAAGCATGTATTTATTACAAGGGCAGATTGCAATCATCATCAGTCAAGCCACAACGTTATAAATTAAAGTTAATGTTTTTTTCTTTATATAATGATAATTTTGGTTGGATAGTTCTCCCCATAATTTTTTATTATTATGTTATATGTTTATATTTGGATATTTGGTTTTCAGAAATTTATTTTTCAGATATTTATTTTTGATGTTTATAATAATAGGCTACTTGTATAATTTTTTCGTTTGATTTATGTATATGTTAATTTTCTCTGTGATAATGGAGGGATTATGATATTTTTTGGTGTGTAATGCACATGTAACGAATTATTGTATACCCCGCATCATGGGCTCTGCCTATTATGTCTAATTAAATAAATAAATAAGATATTTTTTGTTTTTCCGTCTGGTGCGTACGCGAATAAATCAGAAGATTTTTCGACGCGTGAGCTGGCCACATACAGTTGTCCATGCGTGAAGCACGCATTCTCCAAATTTAACCCACACACTCGCAGCGATTGTCAGAAGTGCGATATTCCTCATTTTTATATATTTTGTTAAATCCTTTATAATTTTGATTATTTAATTGCTCCTTCTTTTCTTCCTTGGCATGTTGTGAAATGTCTGATAGTTGGATAATAAACCGTTTTATTGTAATTTGTCTGTTTAAATTATTTTGAGTCGATATTAAAATTTGGAAAAGGGTATCCCTAGATCGGAAAAATAGGCGAATTTCCTCCTACAACTTCGGTTGTTGTTCGGAGTACAGTTAAGGTTTTAACGAAGTTTGAGCGAATACATAATTAGCAAAAAAAAAGTTGAAATAAAGTGATTAAACAAAAATTATTATAAATATCGTAAATAACAGTTCACAAATGCATATATAGAGATATTTTTTTAAGGGGGAATGGGCTTCACAATTTGAAATCGATCGAACACACAGTGCTCGAACGCTCGTGTAAACGCGCGCCATCTATCGTAGGATAAATGCCAGAAACCTTCGCGGGAGTGTATTAAAAACTAGCAGACCCCGCCACGCGTTGTTGTGGCTCAAAATGTATAAATGTATAACACTTTCCCCGTGTGGGGGGAAATTTTCCGAAAAATTTCTTTTTAGTGTACATTCTCTTGGCGTGCCCTATTAAAACGGAATCAAAAACGCAAAAAACCACATCTAAAATAGTAGAAATAGAAGCAGAGTTCTTTATGGTAAGCCTTAATCCTAACCATCTCCCTTCAGTGGGGGAATTTCGACACGTATATTATATAAAAACACGTGCGTATTCGAATGCAGCGTTGTGTCAAAATTTCAAAGGAATCGGTAGGAACAAACGAACATTACATTTTTATTTATATAGATAGATAGATGATGATCTGCTTTAGTCCATCCTCACAGAAAAGCAAACTTAGGGCGTCATCTCGTAGCGCCATCTGTTGGACATAAAAGCCTTAACCCTAGACAAAAATCCATTGTAGTTTTATTTAATTAATAAAAAATCTGCAGGTTTGATTAGTGGTAAACATTCCGGGGGTCATAAAGATGCTACAGTTAAAATTTGGTAACGATTGGTTCAGTAGTTTTCATGGTTAGTGGTCACAAACGAAAAATACGTTGTCTCTTTATATAATAGTAAAGATAAAGATATAGATATAGATATAGATATAGAAACTTCCCAAAGCTTCATGGCAATCGGATAAACGGCGTGGTAATGCGTGAAGGACATAAGACAGACACACAGACAGACATACATTCATTTTTATATATATAGATTAAAAATACACATTAATTTTTGAGTGTTTGGTGTGATAAGCCCTTATTTTTTATCTACCACGTGATAGTAGATATTTTAATTTAATATAACTCTTTAATTAAAGCTCGTTAAATTATTGTTAAATTTAATATTATTGGATATTATAAATATTATTTATTTCAAAAAACTATTAATAACTGTTTTCAGATAAGTTATGTTTTTATGATTTGCTTACAAGAAATAATTTTAGAAAGGTAGTTTTAAAAGCTTTCGAGAACTTTAGAAAATATAATTTTTAAAACAATAAAGTAAATAATTAAACAATCAATGTTAAAGTTTATCGAAAACTACTGCACATCTAGAAGATCGATATTCAACTATCAGTAGCTACTAATATGCCTAAATTTGCACAATGTCCTTATTAGGATTAAACGTTTTTTATCAATATATCTGTTATTTTTCTTGTTTTATTTATTTATTTGCTTTTGAATTCTTTGAGGGTCCCTCCGATCTACATTTGACGCATGAAATTTCCCAAAAATTTTGACGGAACCCTTAAAAAAAGGCATTTTATTTATTCACTTTACTAAGAAATAACTGTCTAATCTGCTTTTGGGATTTAACACTTCCATTCTTAACACTTCCATTGTTACACATTTTAGAAGTCAACTACTTTCAAACCCCATATCTCCCACACCATTATAGCTATTAAGACGAAACCACCATAGTGCACGATGGGAGACTTGGGGCTACTACCATACACAAACACCATTCATGTGCTATGTGTACTTTTGGCTGCAGAGTTAAATATAGGGACAAACACGTCCATTTATATATATATAGTATATCCTCCGTACGGAAAAACACGCAATACATTATATAAAGAAGTGTTATAAATTTTATTTTTAAATGGCCAACTAGTGCGCCAACAAGTGGTAGTCGTAGTGGTGGTTAAAAATGAAAGTGTTAACAATGACAGTGTTGAGTAACAAAGAAAGTGTTAAGAGAAAGTGGTGTGCAAGATTTACAGGCGCAGGTGTGGTTTTTTGCGTTTTTGAGGGAAATCGAACATATTTTTAGACTCGTAAAAATTCTCTAATTAGTCTGGAAACGGGGAACCTAATTCTTGCATTCTGTGAAAATGGGTAAGATTGGCTGTAATGTAATTTTAATTTTAAATGTTTTGGAATAGTCGAGGACCGTTATGTGTAAGTAGTGGGGATGGCTTTTGGAGATGAGTGACGTACATGCTTCACTTGATTTTTCATAAGTAAAAGTGTACAAATAACAGAAAAAAGTAGAAAGTGAAAAGTGAATAGTGAAGTGTCAAAAGTAAAAATATAAAAAACAATGTCAAAGCGTAAGAAAGAATTTTTGCAGTCTAGAATCATATTTTAACGGCAACAGATAGCGCGAAGAAATGAAACCACGGAAGAAAGAGAAATACATCTAACATTTCTACGAGAAAATTATCAACGAAACAGAAATAATCAGACAGAAGAGCAACTTGGAAATTATAGGGAAACATCGAATCAGAGAAAGATTATGTAGAGGAAGAGAAACAGTCTTTTATATATATAAAAAAACTATATTACATAATGTAAATGTACGAACA